GTTTACATTAATTAATTCTAAGCTGTTCACCCAATATTACTAGGAATAATACATTTTGTCGTATTCGTCTGCTGGCTCAAACAGAATGAACGGTGTATTATTTCCGTAATTATTATACAATTGATTAATTTTCGAAGAAAAAAGCAATGACTATTCTGTCCCTGTGGACCCACTGCTGAAATACTGACAATCTCATAACAGACGGACCGCGATGGATGAAATGCCAATTTTTAACACTTCTGTTTCGAGGGAGAGGAAATACCTGTGGTCTACAACTGTAACGATCATCGGAATAAAGAGGCGGCCTACGTAAGATCCTGAATTGATCTGAATTTGCTTTCAATGCATAGCGGGATTTTGGCAGTGAGATACAACTTCGACACTTTAAATTCAGACCTCCAAGCACCCGCGGAATCACACGGAGAAATAAAGTCTCATCTTTCACATTTTGCGCAATTGTTTTCGAAGAACACATAATTTCTTGCGTTACCTTTTATCACTTCTACCTTCTTTACAAAACTAGAGTACCCAAGAATGCCTTCACGATCTCCGAGCACTGGCAATCGTGTTCTAACGCCTCGTGATCAGCCTCGCGCCGGGCTATCGTAAGGCGGCTCCACATATTCGGCATTCGCCGAGCAGCGAGCTACTGCTCGCCCAATCCCGAACAGCTGATGTGTTCGGCGAATGTTCGCTCCCTTTGATGTGTCCTAAAGGCCGACACGTGGTGGGTAAGGCGAATACCGAATGTTCGGCGAATCGTAAGCAACCCGTCCACACAACTCGGGATTCGGCGAGCGGTTGCTCGGGGTTCGCCGAATGACGCATGCATGGAGCCGCCATTATACAAATGTTAACGCACCTAATCAACTCGAAATGGGTTCAAATCTGAATCTGATCAATTTGCAGCTATGATGTACCCATAGCATCTCGGCGACAAATGTACTATATGTAAATATATCTTAATTTTCGCGTTTTGTGTGATCTTCATTGGATGCAAAACGCGTGCGTGCCTCCGGTTTCCACAAGGATTCCGAGGATGGTAACACTGAGTATCAGGCCCCTTTTACTTTTGGCGCTCTCATTGAATGCCTGCGTGGTTGATTCACATATGACGTTGCGATTTGACTCCACTAGCATCCGTAGCTCGCAGCTCGCTACTAGCACAAGCATCCGCACACTGTAATCCTGGCCTCAAAGCACAGAGTGCGGTACACAGTTTCGCGCAGTATTTTATTAATACTGATCTCTAGTTCAATATTTATTGCAGTGAGAAAAAAGTGAGTTTTGAGTGCTTGTAGAAAGCATAGTGGATGCCTTAGTATATGTATATTGTTTTTTCATAAATCATTTTTAATTTATAATCGCAAAAATTAGATTCAATATTACCAAAATTTCTTCCTATTGGTTTCGTAAAGTTTAGAACATTCGTTTTAGGATAATCTTTGAGCAAATCCAAATTTTAAAAATGACCTCCAATCAAACATTTCAAAAAATTAGGTTATTTGGTTTCAAAAACCACTAATACTTTAAGGAAATTTGACCATTTTTGCGACAAAATAAGATCACACACGAACGGAACAATTCTAGCAGCTTAGAAAATTTCCAATGCTGCGCCCCCATCTTTAAATTTCAATAAAATTGAGTAGAGCAAAGAAAATGTGATATTATCAACAAATTTAAACTAATCGCACTACAGCACACACTTTCTCGTACTATTTATAACAGTTACGCAATGTTATACTACTACACATGAACAAGCAAAAGTATTTCCAAGAAACAAAACATTTTCTCTGAGCCGAGATTAGAACTCAGGTTTTTGGAATTAACTCACCACGCTACAACACGCAGCCGCTCGGATATAGACCCGACGCATAAAAGGTAATGGTATCTCCCATTATTTATAACTATTTATAACTTATCCAATTTGCGTAAATTCAAAGTTCAACAAAAATTAGATCTGCGCCATTTTTAAGCGCCTTTTGCTCTAGTCATTCTAAAACATTTGGAGGCGCTACTGAGATTTTTTTATAAATTGCCTACATTGCATGCAAAAATTAGTATTTTCGAAAAATTGTACCTGAGCTTATTCCAGGATGTATTTCAAAAATAGATTTGATTAAGGGGAAAAAATCATTTTCTTCAATATTGTAGCTGTAGGAACACGCGGGAAATTTTTCAACTTCTGCAATATTCGGCAAATTAGGGTTGTCAACGAAAATTATACCCACGCCATATTGTTACGCATTGCTTATGCTATTCGAGAGGAAAGTGTAATTAACAGATTTGGAGCCATTTTGGAGAAAATTTTGAGAATGTTCATGAGGCTTCATGTAAACCTTCAAAATCAAAATATCCGTTTCAAACTCGCAGGGCCTTGGATTCCTTCAGATTGATCGGGAAATGTGATGGGAGAAAATCGGCTGAACAGTTTAGGCGGTAGAGTTGACCATGGACGGAGAGACAGGCGTTTTGCCGTCAATTGATTTTTCGGTATCGAGGACTCATGGCAAGAGGAATCTGACCACACATGTAAAATTAAGTAATTTGCCTCACGTAGATACAAGCTTTATCCACTTTTTCGTTACTACGGCCCGACAATAAGAGTTTTCTGTCAGAAAATCGCAGCTCTAATACCATGTCACTAGACAACTTACATAGCAAGGCAAGCAAGTAAAATAATAATGTCAGTTTCGCCGTTACAGATTTACATCGAGAATTTTGGCGCCTTCAGTTCTTTACGATTCGTGAACAGTGCTTCTCTAGCTTCATCCTATGGAGAATATTGGAATTACATTCGTTCTTCAGATTTTATCTACGGTTGGGTCATCCCCATCCGGGTGCTGGCATGACTTCGTAATTACAAGTACTTTTGTGTTCATAAAATGTGATCATTTTTCAATTAAAGGGACATTCTGAAACATGTGTTGATAAAATTTAGTTGTTTTTTTTAACCCATTCCTCGCCTTAGTAACAACTCTTTAAAATTTACAAACGGTACGCCTTTGATGTAAACGTTCCGCTTGGAACCTCTTCCCTTTTTGAGATAAAAGAGACCTTCATTAAAAAATATAGGAGACATTTTATAAACTTTTCAAATGAAAAAAAATAGTTCTGGTAAATTGCAAATGTATCATGGCATAGGCACATATTGCCAACTTTAAGCAGCGCATCAGCCTTCCTTCCCCTTGTCCGTTTTCGTCAGCGTTGTGGGAATCCCCTCCTGATAAAAGCGAAGATGTTTTATGAATGGCTCCTAAAACAAATGTTTAAAACGACTACGCAACATCATGCTCTTAACCAATGCATTTAATTGCTTATTAGTGGTATCACAGATACACCAAATCATATAAACACGAACCTGAGATCGAGAATAACTCCATAAAGGAATTTGTTGCAATGGTTATTATTTGACAGTTGTCAAACAGCAAAATTTCTTATTTTGCTAGAATATTTCCTTTTTTTTAATATCCTGAATTCTTGGTATGCAAAGAAACGTCACATGTTTGTTTTCTTTTCTGGATGTGAGGAGGAGAAATTTCTCCGATATAATATTCCACTAAAGAACAACGAAAATGCGATGCTCATTATTTCCCTCACCTACAGTTGGTTATTCGCGGTAATTGTGCCGAAAATGAATATTATTTTCCGATTTATTTTTTCCACAAGTCGTGGCCCCCTCCCTATGTCGGCCTCCTATCCTCTCATGGGCCACGAAACTAGTTCAGAGAGAATTTTAAGTATTAATAGTTTCAATACTTTAATATATTAATTCGAATAAAAGATGCAATGTCAAACAACGTTTCACGACAAAAAGCAATCAAGTCCAGTGGTTTTCGGATTTGACTCCAATCCACGATGTTTCCCTGACAAATTTCTCTCCGACAGTACAACACGAAAGCCAAAAGATTGAAAATATCTTTAGAAGAAATGGAAAAAACATTAAAATGACTATGCTGTCCAATCATGCTAAACACTGCAATGACTAATTTTCCCCATAGAATCAGTATCCTTTACAATGAACAGTAATGAAGGTGTGGCAACACTGTATTCTCAATTCTTTACATCTGTGTTGCCAAAGGAGAAGCGGCAAAATATTCACATTACTGAATCTAAGCATGTCAGTTGCCATGCCACCCAATGTGCACGCAACTATACATGCATTGTATTACAAGCATGCTTTTGTTGCCATGATACCAACTTCTTACACTTCAACAAAGCCAGGTACCTATAGTTGGGGAAATTTTTATCGAAATAAAATATTTATTGAAGATGCATAACAAAATAGTCATATAATGTAACGTACAGTTTAATGTAAATCTAGAGGGCACAGCTTATGATTGATAACGTGAACAATTTTATTTCATCAAAATAATGAACATAAAGATTATTTTAATGGTGCGTTTAAGATATAAAATTCTATTTTATATTGCAAATCAAAAATGAATAAGCACAACTTTACAATTGACTGTGACACATTTAAATAACCTATACAAATGCCAAACCCAAACTTGTCACAAAAAAACGGGAGTCTAAAAATTCTCTTTTTTTCCCCTACTACTAAATAATGAAATTGCTTCTCAATTACCTGGGGTCGTCCGCTGTCGTCGTAGCACTTCGTACTGGCACCACTGTCGTAATGGGACGAAACTGGATCGTCTTCATGTATTATTTGGCAATTTGCTAAACTTATTAAACATAACCACGAGACAACGAAGCATGTGGCTCCCCGCCACTTGCTCCAGGCTCCCATTCTCTGTAACCGGGGCAACGGCATATACGCCCCAAACCGAAGTGCACTCACAAGCACACTCTGTGCCACTCCCTTAGCCGTTGCCACGGATCCTAATACAGCCGGCCGGCTTTGTTTTTATACAAACGTCAAACTATCCACAGCTCACCCGATGATGACATGAGCCTCGACTGTCCAGCCGAACAACACTTCGGCAAATGCCTTTGCGCCCGTCTCTGAAGAATTGATATCAACCACAGTCATAGCACAGAGTAAGCAGCAACCAATCAAACACCAGCGCAATTTCCCGCTTTTAACTACGCTTCCTCCAATAGTAAAAGGGCTTCTTCTCGTAACCATTTCAAACCACAAACTTGTTAAATCCATGATTGCATGAAAGCATGGATAAATCCTGAAGGAAGTCGAATGTAGTTTGGAGTGTTTTAAATCATAACCAGCCCATAACAGCACAGTAAGCTATTGAATTGCTCAGTAGTGTCTGAACAGACAAGTTATTTAAAGTTGTCAAACAAGCAAATAACTACACGATTTTATTATAGTTATTTTTTCTTGGTGAAAAAAATTGATTATATACTAACACATTTTGAATATATTTCGTTTGTTAAGTATTTTGAAAATGTTCAGATTGCTCATGGTTCAACTATTTTATGATGCAATATTTTAGAGGTTTGCTCTTTTTTTAAATTTTTTATCTGCTGAACTAGCTGTTGATTTACCATATTAAAAATATTTGCAACTTGAATTTGCAAAATTCTTGATTGTCCAAGTAATAATACTTTGTATTGCAAACTCTGCTTGTAGTCTTGCAAACTATTTCAAATCTTACAATATAATTGGCAAAATGTATCCTTTTTGTTCTATTGTTCAGTCCACAAGCTCTTTACTCTGTTAAATCTATAGTTTTACTTACTATTCTGTACATCCTCTCAGACAATTTTTTCACTTTTATATAAAATAACACTCATACTTATCAACTTCAAAATATATTTTAATGACAAGAAAATTAATATCACATAATGCAATTGCCAAAATTAAGTTCATTGTTATTTTATATTTGAGGTAAGTTTCTCTCTGTTCAACAATTCAAACATATATGAACATGTGCGGTGTCAGTGACACATCTGTATTAGTCAGTCACTTTTTAAATATATACCTTCTCATGAAAAGAAAAAAATATTGGTGAGATCTTGCAAGGTAATTTTGAAGATAAAACCAACATGCCAAAATACCTTGAGTCATTTTGATCAGTAATAAGTACTTTTGATTCTGGGCATATATCAATTCAGAAACCATGTCTCTGAGATGGTACTATGCTGTTAAGTGTGAGAGAAAGTTGCACACTGATGAATTTTAGAGAAGTTCGTATGAATATAATAGCCAGAGTATTGTAGGTTCTGTTTTTAACTTCTTACATTTAGAAGCAAATGTGAAGACAGTCACAGACAAATTAACATTTCAGCCTAATGGTTCATTTAATTTCACAAGATTTATTATTTTATATAGTATAAAAAATGAACTAAGATAATCAGGAGTAAGAGTACTTTACATTTTACACACATATGCACACTCTATTTTTTTATTCATAAATTTCTTATACACTTGCCCTACCTTGAGAGATAAATGTAAAAGATGTCTGAAAGTCTCATTATTTCAACTGTTGCATTTGAGGAGAAATTGCAAAATATTTTGTTTCTTGAGTGATATTTTACTGCATAAATAATACAAAAAAGTTAAAAATTCGCTGAGATTCACATTTACAATCTTCAGAGGCAGAGAAACTGAAAGTGGTATAGGAAACTTAATTTATCATATTAGTTAAGATCTTTACTTATTAGTAGACCAGACTTGCATCTCCAGGTGTTCCTGATCTCGCCATTTCTTTTGTGGTCTTCCCACATCCCTTCGCCCTATTTGTTTGTACCTAAACACTGCTTTTGGTAATCTTTCGTGTTTCATTGTTTTAATGTGAGAGAGCCATTCTCTCTGTTTATTCTGTATTTCTTCTACAATTTTTTTTACTTTAATCTGTTTCTGAAGTCTCTACTCCGTTGCCTGTCTTTTAGTGTCACTTCTGCAAGATTACATAGAAATCTCATTGGCATTACCTCTAGTCTTTGTTGCTCTCTACTTTTCATTGTCCAGTCTTCCAAATCTTATAATTCAGGATTCAATAATATTATTTTGTCTGTTATGTAGTAACAAGTCATTAAACATAGAGTAATTTTCCTTGAACATAGTCATTTGGTCATAATTTCATGGTGCCACTCCTATCGGCCAGGGGCTCAGTGCCTTTGGTATATAAGGTTCCCAGACAGTTGTCCATCTAAGAACCCTCAGTGTCTGGAGTTGCTTGACTTGCTATGACTTCTCTGAGTGTGGTTAATTAGATTAAGGCTGGCAAGGGCTTGTCACTTGGTTTGCTAATTGTCTTGTCTTAATCAATTTTCTAAATAATACTATGATAGGTAACAAGCTCTTCTTCTTGAAGTGGCTGCTCGAGAAGCTCATTTCAATGTAAGATACCATGCCTAGCAGAAGGCCTGCCCACATGGGATGTCAATGGCTGTTAATAATAATCATAATAATTATAGTAACAAGATGTAATAAGAAAATATTTTCTTAAGCCGAAAGACATCTCTATTGCCCCTCGGTGTATTTTAATTCCTTGCTGAAGACATGATAGATCAGTAGTTGGCAAATATATTTTAAATTTCACTCATTTGATTTAGTAGTTTTTAACACCTTACCCCCACCGTGCCAGTCATCAATATGGTGAATTTCAATAAAAAGGTGATTACTAGAAGTTCAGGCATTTATTTTATCTAAAATAGGCAGTAAGGCCTTTATTTTTACTAAAATAGACTTTTAAAAAAGCATTTATTCTGGCTAAAGGAGGGGTGCAAAAAGCAATGAAAAATCACATTTAAAAGAAATTATTGTTAAAAATTAATAATGATATTGATTCACATTTTTATTCTAACCCTAAAATTTACATCAGCACTTACATGAAAAGGCATGTAGAATATTTTCTTTGCAATCTTGATTCCACATGCTCACACAACATGACAGCAAATTTGTTTTACTTGAGATGCTGTCTCTTCGAAAAACTATTGAGGACCTTTTGAACCATGAAATGGCATAAGTGAAAACGGAATGATATTTTTTGTTCATCGCACTTGTACAATTGCCAACACTGAGAAGGGAATATCCTATACAGAGAGCTCTGTCCTCAAAAGGGATTGGAGTCCATACTCCAAAGTAGGATAGAATTCCTCGTGAACGAACAAAACCTGACAGCATCAATGAAAGAAATAAAAAATCATGACTGGTATCATTTCCATTTCATTTTTTAATACTAATTGCCCTGGAGCCTCCACTTCCACTTAAAGACCAAACACTACCATGTATTCATGTTGTCCAGGCTTGCAGGTATGTTTCCAGCTTCATTGAGATTGGTACCAGGAGAAAAATAGCAATATAATGACAAAAGGCAAAAGTACCAAAAATAGACATAATGAGAATCTATTGAAACAACTCCAGAAGTACAATTAAGTGATTCCTATTTTTAATATCCATGAAATCGGAACAATAACAAGGTGTTTTGCCAAACTTCCAGGCTCTAATTAGGATTCTAATCAGGATTACCCTACACGTATACATTCCTTGGCACAAGATTTCAATATTGCATATCTTCATCCAATACACCTACAGCTTAATCTATCTTGTATCACCTTCATTCTGGTTCATCTACAATTGAATTTAGTTCAGAAACCCGTCAAACGCCAAAATCTAAAACACATTTTAGCGACAGATTACTGTTCCGGGAGGATAAACACGTTTCGTGCATATTTATATTCATTTATTAACTTCTTTAATTAAATTTTTTGTAATCTGAAAAATTGGGAGATTTATTCTCAGTTTCCTCGAATTGAGGAATTTCGCGTTTGATGGGTTTCTGGAATAAACAATTCAATTCTTCTACCAACTCATTTTCTTTTTCTATTATATTTTCATTAGTTCATATTATATAAATAATTTGATGAGTTTATTCGATTGTGTGAGCACACTTAAAACATTTAGCTTAATTTTTCATTTTATTGATGAACAAAATATTTTTTCCTAATAATTATTCTTTTTTTCCCTTTGGTGGAAAAATGTTAATGTTGCTAGAGTATCAGAGAAATTGTTTGAGAATGTTCAATAAGTAATTATAAATTTATGTATTATGTGGTTAGGCAGAAGAGCAGGCCTGATGGCCAGAGTCACCACATAAAGTCACTATTATTTATTATTATATTTATAATATTTCACTGGTAAAATTATTCAAATTCTTGTTTATATCAAGACTTTTGGGCTTCACACCACTGGAATTAGACACATTGTGTAACTATCAATCACTTGACATATTTTTTAATGGATGCATTTCAGAAATGTTTCTTATTTTTAGAAGTATCAAATTTAATTTAAATTATTTGTTCAAAAGAGTCGCATACACATTTAAAAATTACAATCATGAGTGATGAGTCAGATTGGTTATATTACTACTTTATAGCAAAATTAAAATTTAATATTCTGAAATAATAATAATAATAATAATAATAATAATAATAATAATAATAATAATAATAATAATAATAACAATAACAACAAGATCAATAATAACATTAAGTTAAATCAAATTTTGATGCAATTGCCATAGGTGTTCCACAAGAATCTTGCTTGCACCTTTGCTATTTCTAATATATATTAATGATATTTCAAGCTCATTTGATTTTTCTGTAGTTTCTTATACAGATGATACAACATTAGTAAGCAGTGAGCAAAATATTTGTCATCTAGAAAATAATCTGTCTGAATCATTAAAATCAATTAAAAGTTATTTGTCTATAAATGAATTGAAATTAAACATTGATAAAACTGTATTTATCAATTTCAAGTTACATCACGGTTATCAACACTGAAACAAACAAACAAAACTGGAAGTAGACAATGCTCCAGTGAATCAAACTGATTGTCATAAGTTTTTAGGAATATTTATAGATCAAAACCTAACTGATAACAAACAAGTTGACACACTTAGTAATAAAATAAACTCCAATATATTCTTTTTGAGATCTTTGCCAGATAGCTGGAAACAGATGCACTTCTTCCACTCTTATTATGGGATAACCTTTTTAAAACTTTAATGTGGTATTGAAATATGAGGAGGTACAATACAAAAAGATATGGATAGGTTAATGGTCGTACAA